ATCTGCGACACAGGTGCCGGTTTGTCCATGCGACACAGATTGCAACCGTCGTGTTGATCAAACTGTCCGAAGCTACTGCGGAAGGAGACACCTTCCTAACTTGCTTGAATTCTAGAGTGAGACACCGAAACAAACGATCTCTGGAGTTTGGCAGCTTGGTACTAACTCCAACTCGCCCAAGCGCTGATAGCTGTGGCTATGGGTCTGGGTCATCCCGCGGCAGGCATTTTGGAGCTGGCCTTGAGCACCCGAGAATTCTGAGAATCCACAGGCGCCTAAGCCACAACCATCAATCTTGAATCATGCCTCAAGCTTTGCTGGGAGAGCTTGGCCGCTTGTAACCTGCGTTCGCACTCTGAGCATGACCTCCTTGGGAAAATGACCAAACAGCCCCTCTTGTATATGTATGCAAATGGTTCCGCAGTTTTGCATGAATACTGAGCAATGATTCCATCATTGTCTTGAAACAACCCCCTTGGTAGTGTATATATAATGGCTGCTAGCCACTTCTAATTTGCAACCATCTGGCACGACTGAGATCAAAGTCAACTCACTGCAACTGAGACAAGATGGGTAGCAGCCAAGCTATGCCTTTCTTGTGCCGTGGGATCGCAGGTCTCATTCATCGACAAGAGAGTTTGCAGATACTTGGGGAGAGTAAGATATACAAAGGCCTTAAAATCATTACTCTGAGCTATATATCCACATTCACAATCCAACTGTCACCTTTGTTCAAACTCCCTTCAAGGTGCTAGTGCTGCTAGTGCTTTGAAAGAAACTCTGAACTTCGGCACGCCCAAGGCTTCCAAATAACCTCGCAGTAAAATCCAGTAAAAACACAAAGCAAACTCTTTAAATGTCAGCTTTCCAAAGGCGCCACAAGTTGCAATGGCACCTCGTCTCCTTGCATTTGCTGGGCCACTGTGATGCACTCCTGTCAGAAAATTTTGGTTGGGTCACTGCTCGTTCGCAGCACTTTTTGTACCGTACAGCCTGCAGGTCTCCCAGCCTGTTCAGCTGGGCGTGCATCACCAGACACACACATGGTACACATCCAAGCATCCTCGGTTTTTCCGCCAAAATATGTCGAGCACATCGAAAGGCTCTGACTGTGTAAACCAAAGGCCATGCGGATCAGCAGAGGAAGATGTAAGATTTAAAGCTTATAAAAGACTGTTGAGGTGCAAGACGTTCTGTACGTTTGACTCCGTTCCATTGCAGTACACCAACCGCATAAGTTTGTGTTCTGTTAAGACCCCTGAAGCAAGATGCGTAATCCCCTCCTGTTCTCGAAATCTGCGTGCGTGTGCCCATGCAAAACAAAAGAAAAGGCAGCAGCTGGTGCCAGCAGAATTTGGGAGGAGTGGTTTTGGCAGTCGGATCAATTGGTTCAGTCAGCCGGTCCCTCCCCGAACCAGTGACAAACCATGAAAAGCCTATCTTCATGTGTGAATGTATATTATATTCTGCGTATATATGCTGCTTATTTATGCAGCGTCCTGTCTGGGTTAGAAACTGTTAGTTGTGCACCTGCTCATGGTCAATCCATTTAGCGTCAGCATAGCAAAGCTTCTAGGTGAAAATGCTCTGAGCACCAATACCGTTTGTGCGTATAAAGCCACTGCCTATCTGATCCCTTACTGCCTTAAACAACTTCGCAGCGGTGGCCTAGGACGAGCCGAACCTCTGGCGCTGAACCCCCAGCAGTGACGTTCCACATTCATTTTTGCGGTGAGCACAAATTGATGACAATGTTGTGACCAGAGCCAACAACTTCATCCAGTAAGTAGCCTGCTTGCAGTCTATCGCGCATAGAAGTCGTGTGGCTACCCAAATCCGCCCGCACCGAAGGTGCTGAGGCGTTTTATAAGGCACGCGTTATACCGCAAGTACCGCAAGTACTAAATAGCTTTAGCTAGGGGGGGGGGCCATTTTCGCTCTAGAATCCTGTGCTTTTTCACGTTTTTGGAACCGGCTTAAAGTGCTGGAAGATAGTTTCGTGCTAACTTTTGCTATCTTGAAGCCTTTAGTGATGCAAGAAATGCAATTTTCTGCTTTGCATCATCTGCATCATCTGAGCGGTAAAGTGTAATTGGGCTGAGGCCGGACATTTGGCTGAACAGGTGCCCCTAACGGGGCTCAACATAGCTTCCATATTGCGTAACATAGCCCTAGAAGTCACTATCTAACGGACGTGTCTGCGAGATAGGGACTTGAACGTCCGGGTACGTGGCTGGTCAGGAGCAGAGATAAGGAAAGATAAGGTCCAGGAATGGTGGTCAGGAGCAGACTCACGAGCATAGCTCCCATATGGTCGAACATAACCCCAGAAGTCACTATCTCAAGTATGCTTTCCCGAGATAGGTACTTGAACGTCGTAAACATGGCCCAACGAAGGCTCAAAAGGGACTGGAATAGAGGAATAGAGTGAAGATATTGCCTAACATAGCCCTAGAAGTCACTGAAATATTGGCCCCTTCCATGCGGTGCGGGCGGGTACCGTCGCGAAGCGACGTGAATACAGTGGTTTCAAAAGCCGAGGCCATGTCCAAGGAAACTCGTTCACAAAAATTGCTTACAGTATCTTACGGTATGTCACTATGTCAAATGAGTACAGGAAGGCAAAGTCTGGTGGAATCTCCAGCCGGTGGTCCGTGAGTAAACAAGGCAAGGAATCGGGGACCACCCCCAGCAATAGACTTAGGTCAGAAGGTGTGTAGTGTATAGGTTTCTTGACTCATGACGAAACATCCAATGATGTAACCAACACATAAGCTTCGGCTTGCCGGGATTTGTTTGATGCCCATGCTTCCTCCTTGTTCGGGTGAACGATGTGGCTAAGCTTGGAACCCAGTTGCATGGCTTCTCGGCTCCAAGTTCAGGACTTTGCAGGACCTGAAGACATCTGAAGGGCTTGGGGAGAGATCTTGAAAAGCGAGGTCTCCCTCGGGTGCAGACTGGAGCCGTGAGGGTCGGTCCCGCATCGTGCGATCTCGGTACCTTGCGGTCGCTAGAAGCAGGCCGTGCGTCCAAGCGAAACTGATCATGTTGGTCTTAAAAGAAGGATAAATCACAATAGCCACTTTCGCCTTGAAATAGCCATCATCATCTGGGGGTTGAGGCCTGGAGAAGTGCACAAGCAGCCAAGTTCAAAAAGTGTCATGTCTGAGACCAAGACATATCATCATACTCATTAGACCTGCAGTAAGCCTTGAAGGAGGCAGCACATTCGGATTTCTCAGCAAAGCACTGCATGTGGTTCCACGGTTGGCATGCAGCACTCGCCTGAACGTCTGGACCCAATGCAAACTCCTGACAAACACAGCCAGCAAAAGGAGCTTGCTGTGAAGCGACTATCTGCAGTATTGCTTCGAAAAGGAAAGATGGCGAGTTCCTGGAAACAAGGTCCTTGTGACGCTCAAGATGCTGGATTTTGTTGGTCTCGCAAACTGCGGATCGTCCTTCCTGCCAATCTAGAAACCTGGCTTGGCGTGGAGCACACTTTCAACTATAGTATATCTGTGCTTGAAAAATGTCTATGCAGTGTGATTGGTAGGACATTCTTCGAAGTGTCCCTAATGATTCCAAAACGCTTCGCAACTCAGAGTCCAGCCGCTGCACAGCATCAGCTGTGTTCAAAGTGCCAGAGTCGCTCTTGGAGGTCTCTGGCCTCACTCGGACGTGGAAGTCGTGCTCTCGAGTGACTAACATACAACAGCAGGGAGTGCGTTCGTTGCGGAACGCCGTTAGGTCGACAAGAATTTTGCCAATACCACTTGTCCCGCTTGTTCTGGTCTAGAATGTGCTTCTTTGCGGCCACAAAATTGCCATAAGGAGTCTTCTGCCTCCCTACATAGCCCTGTGCGCGTAAATAACTCACAGCAATGTTTAGAAGTTTAGACAGGCACTTCGGCAGAGCTGCAGAATTCCTTCACTTTTTTATATTAAGCTACAAAGCAAACGCGCTTCATCAACTGAGGCTATGCTGAGGCCCCTTCAAAGCTTCCAAGCAGGGCCCTGATGACAAAACTCAAATCCAAAGCAGGACCTTCGAGTCGGCTCGAACCCTGCCTTGTTGGCGACGTGATTGACTCTTGGGAGCACCTCAGTCCGTGTCGAAGCATCCGAAGCAACGTCCATATGGAAAGCATCCATGTCTGGCCTGTAGGCCTTGTCAACTTTATTAATTTTTTTCTATGTTTTTTTGCTCGCTCCGACTTAATTACTAATTACAGTAAGTAGGTGCCTACTTAATCAAGTAAGGGAGAAGTTCGCTCCTAGCTACTGAGAAGCTACTACATATGGACGCAGGATAGCACACACTTCAAGGAAGCTCCCCCTGCCTGAGGGCGTGCGGGGAGCTTCCTTGAAGAAGTGCTCGCACTATTGAATTGGTTCCCAGACTTGTTAGGGAAATTTAACTTCAAAGTAAATAAGAAATCTTTCTTTGGCTTGACAGTTGATTCTCTGCAGATATCTGCAGATCGTCTCAGTGAGACAAGCTGCAGTCTTATCAGCTGAATGCTGTAGATGATGCAAAAAATGTTTCCAGTAAAGCATGCCTCGATGAGATCTATGTCGGTCCCCTCCTTCGCCCGTCTTGCTAAACTAGATACAGTCGTCTTTCAAAAATGATTTGCAGTTGACATGCAAAGCACAAAGGAACAATTTCAAGATGCGCACTTCATCAGCCCGCTGTGGGCAGGAACACAATGCATAACCCAAATTCAAATTGCCCAGTGATGAGTGGCCATTGGTAAAGCACCAACAAGGAACAAGCTTGGGATGGTTGCCCTCTTTCATAGGCACCTGTTTGGTAGTGGCCTTGCTGGCACATCCTGGCCATGTCACTCCCCGAGTGCTCAACATGTCACTCCCAAAACGCTCTATCCCAACACGGGCTGTGCTAGGGTTTGGAGTCGAGCGTTGCCCACAAATAGGTGCTTTTGGGGATGCTATAGCGATGCAATGTTGTTCAAGCAGTGGGGGCCTAGGTCGCTTCACAAGCATTTATGTTGAGACTCAGACTTCAGGTACGGTGTGCGAATCGCACAAAAGAAAGTCTCGACTTGCTCTTCGCTTTCAAACTGCTTGCTGCACGTAGGGAAGGTGATTGTCTTTGAGTGCACCCTCTTCAGCCCCGAGCGTCCATTGCATGTAGCTCCAAGTCTTTTTGGAGTGACAGCCTGCAAACCCAGCGCTAGCAAACCGTTTTTGACGAAAGAACCACGAGAAACATCAATACGTGTCAAACGCACAAATCTTCGAGAACTCTGCTTGATTGTCACAGTGCCTTTCGCTCAGTTCGTAGAATTGTTGGGGTAAGGCTTGCATCAAAAACCCAGTTTGGGATCCTGGAGAGAAGTGGAGTCTCATAAACTGTGCATAAACACTTTCGGAGATGTCACTTCTTGCAAAACGAGTCCTTAGTGGTTCAAAGTTGTAATCAGGAAGTCCAAAAAACTGCAGCACCGGCACAATGAAAGTTGTAGGGTCCTCGGAATTTGCTGGAGACTCAATTTGTATTATGCTCTTGAAGTGAATACACTGTTGAACCTTCAAAGCTCTTTCAGGCAATGGCTGCAAGCAAACTCGCATTGTGCGTCATATCTTCTGGAGTGACCTCAAGGCAGGAGGTGGTGCTCAGTTAGAAAACTCTCCGACACACAGTGCAGGCAGCATGTTTTGAAGCAGATTTTGTTGCAAGAAAAGCGCGAACGTTTGGCGCAAACTCCATGTGCAACAAAGAAGAAACTATTCAACAGCTAATCGATCTAACTACACTCTTTTGAGTCCAGAGCCAACCGCTTTCGGCATGTGCATGTGTCATAAAGCTCTTGTCCATGAGTCCAGGGAACAACAGTATCCTGCCAAGAGTGGGCCCAGCCAAAGCATTGTTTTCTGTAGTTGGCCTACTTTCTTCAGTCAGGCCTTCTTTCCATGAACAACCAACAAAAAGCCCGAGATGTTCTTGATCTTTTCCTGCGGCAAAAGACCACTATCGTTAAAAAAGAAAATGTGCACTAAACATGTATATATATATATACATACATATTATACATATATTCCACCTTGTTGGGGAAGCGCTCTTCGATAAAATCCCTGGCATCTCATCAATGTGCCACACTGAATGTTGGGAATCCAAAAACATGCAGCGATTGGCGCAACTCGGCCAAGATGGCACCGAACTACCTCTTTGACAGATAGGAAAGGACATATCAGAATGACCTTGGAACGATTTGCCAGCAAGGCCTGGAACGATGGCAAAACAACTCAACCCATCTCTGACATAAGCAGCACACCCCGTAGGTTCGTGCTTCGGCTGCTAGGTGAAGAGCAGGCCTTGGTTTCAGCAAACGAAAGAACCTTAACCGCTTCTGCGATAGGGCTGTAAATTGGATCTTAGGATTGCGGAATGCAGGGTGTCAATTTCATAAGAAAGCTGCACACTTTGCAAAAGCATGCCAAAGGTAGGTGGAAGCGGTCTCCCCGACACGTTTCACCAAATAGTGGGGACCCAGTCTCCATGAAAATGATGTCTCCTGAGAACAGCAAAGGCTCTGGCCCGCTGCCCACTGAACGACCGAGAATGATGATATCCTGCGAAAATGCGCCGCTTGGATATATAGTTGTTATCCCAGGAAAGCTGCAAACACTTACCGCCAGGCCTCGGCTGGAAATTGAAGCACCTGAATACTCAGAGATATGACAAACAAACTGTAACTACACCAATTGTGGAATTTCACTCTACATCGTGCCGGTCCAATAAATGAATGCAAGAAGCAGAAATACACTGACATGCTCTGTTTATTTACCAGAGCGAGGTCTTCACTGCCAAATGATATAACTTGAAACATGTTTGCAACTCGGCGCTCACCGGCTGGCCGTTCCTTGCTCCTTGCTGTCCTACACCGTCACTACCCTCAACTGGACAAAATGGCCTCTGTGGTAAAGCGGAAGGCTAAACGCGCATTCTCCGTCACCGACAATTCGTCTGCCTCGAATCACAGGATGACTTGTAGCAAACACAGGTTTGCCCTCACTAAGACTTGCACCTGACCACCAGGACATATTCCATAGCCCGGATATTCTACAGCAAGCACATTCACCTGCAAACCAAGTGTACACACTATGAACATCTTCAAGGAAGGACTTGCTGGCCTGGAATTGCATACGAAGCATGTTGCAAAAGTTGTAGCAACGCCCAAGATCCTCCAAGTGCAAAGATTGCCAACACTAAATAGTATGATATCGATTGCAGCTGACTGGAACTATGCACTCAAGTGACTCCACAACGTCCCACGCCATATTTAATTTCAAAATGAAAACTGCAGTCCTCGGCATTGCTGTGCAAATACAGCATAATGAATCGAGCTGAGTTGGAGGTCATGAATAGGCATGGAACATTGGCCTGAAAGGTGTTGCATTGCTCCGTGTTGGGTCCGGTCCAATTCCATTGTTGGAAAGCATTGCCTCTACATCTGGGTCATCTGGATCAAGATTTCGTGGCAACCAAATCAGCTCCTGAAACAGAATTTCAAAGCATGAGACCGAGGAACCTCGAAAAAGGTGCCCACAGTCACAGGTTTGCTGCCTCTTCAGGAAAGGTATTCAAGTCATAACTCGACTCGGGCGCTGGAAAAAGAAGTGTGTTGACCTTGGTGAGACACAGCTGAAATCTGTTTGACAATCGTTGATCTGAAACGCACTGCATTTCAAGAATGGCCTGAGTCTGAGTGTCTTGATTGCTGGGTTGCACGCAATGTTGAACCCTCCAGCCATCCGCCCTAAGTTCTGATCACCAATTTCAATGCATATGCAATTTCAACGCAATCGCCAAGTACAGCACTGATGTTAGCTTCTGCTGGTTAAAAACAAGCAAAGACCTTGGCTGTTCCCACATGCACGGAGTCGAATGTCTTTGCAAATTGGAACTGTTCAGGGCCCGACAAACCATCAAGCTTTCAAGTGGCATTCCTGAACCGATTCAGTCGAAAAACAAAAACCTTCAATGGAATGACAATGTCCTTGAACAACGCCACGTATCACCCGTGGCTCAAAAATATTCTTCGTGCATCATTGGCACGGGGAAATAATCTGAAATAATGGACAGATCTGGACACAATGGACATACACAAAAAACAGAGTGACGCGTTGTCAGCATGCGAAGTTTCACAGGGTTTTACACTGCTTCACTACTGTACGTCCTGAATGTCAGTGAACAAATCGAAAAATGGACTGGAACCCACTTGAACCTGAAAGCACTCTAAGTGGATTTCCACTGAACGTGCACTTTCCCAAACTTCCATGGAAGCGATAAACCAACGCGGCTTATCTTTCGAGCTAAATGCTTCGACGTAGCAATTCAATGGCACGCACAAACGAAAAGAGGTGCTGCAAAATTGTGTGGAAGACCGTGTCCTTAGTTCCCATGTCCATAGCGTTCGTGTTGGCAAAAACATGAAACAATTGCATGGCATGGTGTTTTTGTTGGCCCTGTTCTGCAACTTGAATTTCCAAAAACTGGTGCGAATTTTCGTCAACAAAAATGTTTGTTTCTTTGGTTTTTCGTTCTTGCAAGCCTTCAACAATTCAAACATTATCTTGCACACTGCACTTCGCCTTTTTTTGACGCTGCGGAACTGGAAGGCTTCTGCGGATGAACCTGGAAACCATACATACAACATGTGAAACTGTCATGCGATGTTTTCTCTGTTCCTCGATTTGTGTTGCGTCCCCGCGTGCGGCCTTCATTGTTGTAAATTGGTCGTCGCAAATGAAAAGCACTGCAACGTCAAGCAGCTCTGTTTTGCTGGCTTTGCATCATCCATGCTATCACTGCATTTTTTTGCACGAGTGGAGGCGCTGTGTGTGCAGGTTGTGCACAAGTCACCTTAGTCGAGTGAATAGAGAGTTACCAGCCAGGTTGCGACCTAACAGAGAAAGCAACAACACAAACCACCCCCCAAACAACAAAACAAACCAACCCCAAAAACAGCCGGAAAGGGAGCAACCTGTAGAGTAACTCGAAGTGCCAAGAAGGCATGAAGACAGGTGAAACAGGGGCAGTGAATTCAGCAAAGCACTCAGAAGTTCTTGTCCATCGACGAACTGACAAATGCAAGATCTGCTGCCCACAGAAGTAAAGCTCAAACAACTGCGGTTGATTTAAGCAAGGATCTTGCTTGGACAGGCTTTGCTTCAGAGCACGAAAGAGTCCCATGACTGACATCAATGCGCGCTTACATGCTTGGTCCACAAGATTTCATGTTGGACTCGTAATCAGATCACTTGCTTGACGGCAGGCAGCTACAAGCCTCATGCAAGCCAAGGTGACAACCTGGGAAGACCACAGTCCCCTTGCTCGGGATGTCCAACATGCCGAAAGTGAAGACCGTGTGATGCCAATGGCGAGCTTTCAAAAAGAGGCAAAGGAAATTGCATCTCCCGTACCTCCCCCAAGGGGGAGGCAACAAAGACAGCACATCAAGCGCTCCTCTCCAAAAACGGCTCATTGCCGAGAGCAAAGCAAGACATGCAGCATGAGCAACGAAAGAAGGCAGGGGATAAGCAAGGACCTTTGAAGTGTGCTGCAAAAATGTTGCAATTGTGAATCTGACTGCATCTTTCAAACGTGGCCAGGTATAATCAGGCCGATACATGCAGCGCCCCATGAGCTACTCGAAAATAGGTGAAACAGAGTGAGACGCCGTTTTCCTAATTCTGTACACTGTACCCATCCAGAACCACTACGCGGGTAGCAGCCTGGGCACTGTCTAGCTACTCAGGCCAACGAAAGTGAAAAGCAAAACGAAATTGATTGGCACTCTTAGGACCAACACACGGGCGCTAGTCTCAGAGTCTAGCATGCTGGGGTTGACGTGTATTTGTCGCCGTGTGTGGCAAATGGTCCTATTACGCTCCTATTGCGCTCCAGGTCCTAGTTATCAGCACTTTATCGAAAGTACTCCTGGATGTTTCTTTGGTGGGCAAATTGCTCGTTTGATTACTCAGCGAGGATGGCCTCTGACGTAGGCAGGGCCAGCACACGGGCGCTAGCTAAAAAGCATGGCAGCTGCAAAGTTGCCACATGCGGTTCCGTGTACCCTCAGTTGAGGACTCTAAAGGAGTCATCTGCCCATTGATCCTCATCTGTCGAATTGCGTGGTATCCATCGAACCCACTTTGGCATATCAAGATTATCGCACCTCAGAAACGCATTGGCCCGAGAGTATGTGCCTCGCCAAGTCATTCTTTTGCCAGTTCTTTGGAATCGATTGAGCTGTGTACATCCGCCAAAGGCCCGCCTTGCAATATAGAGCACGGTGGGCGGCACGCTGACTTCCGTCAAGGAGACACACTTGAGGAAGGCTTCCTGCTGGATCTTTCGCAGCTTGTTTGGAAGCTTTAAGATTTGCAGGTGCTGACAATGCGCCAAGGCACAGTTCATAATTTCTGTGATCTTTGTTTGCGAGAGATCCACCAGTTGAAGCTGCAGGCAGCGTTCACATGCGGCCGATCCTATCCATGTAAAATCTGAAGGCAAGGTTAATGAGGTTAAGCCAGCTTCCAGAAAGCAGCACTCCGGCAAGACCCGCATCGCGCTGTTAGAGTTATACACCGACAGCTCTAGACCAAGTTGTCGCAATGCTGTACATTTGTAGAAGACACGGGGCCTTAGTTCTGCCTGTGGAGCAAGCTGATTGGTGGTGTCATTCCTGATTCCTACTTGCAACAGGGAACAGCATTCTGCAAAGACCTGTGTCCCATAATCCTTACAACCTGGGGCAAAGACCCTGCGAAGTGCATAGCAGCGGCAGAAAGCTCGCGTTTGTAGAATGGTGACCGTGCTGGCTAGATCCACGATTTGGAGGTGCTGACAGTGGTGCCATGCGCCCTCCCCTATGACACGATAGCCTACATCAACCTGCGCGTGCCGGACCTTTGCAACATGCGAAAAAGCTTGCGGAAAAACTCTATCGATAAAGTAGAACGGGACTCGCAGGGCTTTGGCTTCGCCTTGCATTTGTCCCTTATGTTCAGCTTCCTCTAAACAAGGGCTCACTACGACAGTAAAACAATTACAGTCTCGTAAGGTGTGCCAAATCGGATCTACCAGCTTCTGCTGCGAGTTGCGACAGATGAAGTCTAACTCGCATCCAAAGGTGCTACTTTCGCCTATCTCAGGAAGTTGCTCCAAGACTGCACTTTCAAATTCCTGGAGGCGGTCGAATTCTTGAAGTTCGATGGTCAGCTGGGCTTCCTCTCCCGCCAAGGTGGTCAGGATCAAATGTATGATCATTGACCTTTCCTCACTCCATTGCGTGCTAGACACTGAAATGTGGTCAGTGAGCATGGCCTACAATCCACTGACCAACACTGTGTTCTCGTCGTCGAGCCTAAAATTTTTGCGGCAGGCTGCAGTCGTTCTTGTTTCACAATTCCTTGACTGTTGCTACTAGTAGCTGTCATTGTTTCCCAGATTGAGGAAAGACAACTGCACGGGCAGCCATCTGGATGTTTTTTCTTAGCATTGCCGTGCTATGTCGTCTTCTTGAGACTCCCAATGTAAGTGTTGTTGGGTGTGTTAGCTACCCCGTACCGATAAATAGCAGATTCCTCCGGGGATGGTTAGTGCCTGACACCCTTCGAAAGCATTGGCGGCTACTTGTAGACGGCGCCTGTCGGCCTCGGCGCTGCGATAGGTGAGGCATACTAGTTTGCTACACCCTGCAAAAGCTCTGTGTCCAATGCTGTGAAGCTGTCGTGGAAGCGCTACCGTACACAGCAAGATACAGGCTTCAAACGCCTCAGCGCGAATCTCAGTGAGGCGCTTTGGTAAGATGATCTGCGTCAAGGATCGGCAATTGAAGAACACCTGCACATTTATGATGCCCACTTGTGTGTGTGACAGGTCAATCGCAGTCAGTTGCTGACATTGTGCAAAGGCCTTGTGCCGGATGTACTCGGTTGAGTGCGTGATGTTTATCATTTGGATGCCGGCCGAATAGAAGCACCCTGTTGGCAATCCTTCTGGGGGGGATGTTGCAGCCCGCACATCAGTGATGGCTTTGGTCCATGGGAGACCTATTTGCTTAAGTCTTCCACAGCCTTCAAACGCATAGTGGGAGATGGTAGCACCCCTGGCTAGTCGGCAGGAGTTTCCTGTGAGGACTCCTACCTGTTCAAGGGCACAACGTTCTGCAAAGATTCTGGCTCCTAGGGATAAGCATTGTTAGCGCGTAGCATCCTTGGAATGCAGCGTTCGCTATGGTTATCACAGAGCTAGGTAGTTTGACAATAGTGAGGGTGTGGCAGCAGCGCCACACCTGTCGCTCTATGGTGTGATAGCCCACTTCGACTTGCACGTGTCGAAGTCTGGCAAGGGCAAAGAAGGCTTTCGCTGGGAGGATGCCTGATTCATTGGCAGGGACCCAGATAGCCTTGGGGTGGTCTTCATAATTGTCTCGGCGTATCTGCTCTTTAGAGCGCACTTGCCTGAAGCTTTTATGGATGACCAATTGAAACCCCTTGTTCTCCCAGAGCTCCTCATGGATAGGGTCACTGAGGGGGCTCCGGGTATCTTCTGCTATGAGTATTAACTCACAACCGAAGGTGTCAAGGTCAAAGTTTCTGGCAAGCAGTTCTACCAATTCTATTTTTGCACGGGTAGGGGCGCTATGTGTGCCGAGAGGCACAAGTCACCGTGTCGAATTCGTATGAGGAGTGTGGGGATATGAGCCTGACCAAAGAGAACAAAGGAACCAAACCAAAACACCCAA